TTAACTATCTACTTTCACTAAGGAGCCTTAGACGTGCCGTGGTTTAAGCATTGGGCTATTCATCAAAATCTTGGCTGTTGAAATCCACTGGCCTCTCCATGGGAGGAAAATGAGGCTGTCTGCTCCTATAAAGACTCACAGTATCAGAAACCCTGAAACAATTCTACTACTTCCTATAATGTGGCTATCACTTGGGATCATTGATATCGTAAACAAGAAGATCCAGAGATTAATAAATTAAGCTACGTTTTAATAAAGAGATTCCAAATCTATAGATAAGATTGCTTTAAAACAACACAGATCAATAATTATGAAGAACTAGCATTGGGCTCTTTAGCTGATAAGTACTGTTAATTCATTATCTTTGACCCCAGCACAGAGATATTCTCCGAAAGGAGTTTTTGTCTATTATTAAGACAGCCGAAAAAGGTCATGGAGCAGAAAGCCATAGCCTAACAGACAGGATCTTGAATTGTATGAAATAGTAATTCAATATAATTATGAAGCATGCCTGAACCAAAGGGGAAAATGGGTTGTATAAAGAAGCTTTTATTTTCATAAGGGAGCTCTGATGTAATTCTGATGAGGCGAAATGACTGTGTATAGGTCATAACAATAAACCATAATATCTACTTTCCTCCCTGAGTGTAAGAGTTCACATTTTCAGTTATGAAAATCCACTAGATTTAAGCCAAGGACAGACAGGGAATGAGAAAACATCAGCAACGATAAGCATCATGGAAAAACGGAAGACCTCGGGCCTCCAGCCATTTCTCTCACCTTGTCGCAAGTTCTCATTTCAGATGCCACACGCAGCAGCCTTCAAACTACCAAACTATTTAGGTAAAATTAGAAGGCACCGGTCCAGCAGCTTGAAATTAGGATGATTGTATTTCTTTGGCAATTTTGGTGATCCTTCCATTGATGTCAGTAAATATGACTTATCCTATCAATAATAACACCTTACAAAAATGTAAGAGCAGAATGCAAAGGAGTACACAGATATATAGCAAGGGGCCATCAAGCTGTAAAACAAGCTGAAAGAATGGATATATACCTACTGCGCTGTAGAGGAGTTTAGGCAATATTCATACGGCTATAATTTTCTTCAATGAAGCAAGTTTAGCTACTAATATTTACCGTCATGAAAAAGCAAGAAGTAATGTTTTCCGAATAGAACTGGTTTAGTGTCTTGGCCACTAAATATTGTCATGATGCTAATGCCAATGATTGCAACTGCTTCTCCATCTGGTATTCAGTGTTTTACACCAAAAGAACGAGTTGCCTGCTCCCTCCAAAACCGCCTGTCCTCTGTCTGCCACATGACTCCCAGCTAGTGCGATTGTATCTGTCTTCAGGCTCTGTGCTCTACTGTGTGCTCTGTGCTTTCTGGAATAGGCAGCTGCTAGTGTAGAGGCCTCAAATGGGGGGGAGGGGGACATGGAGAAAGTGTTGAACATTGTTCAATCTTCTAAAACTTTTAGACTGCCGTTATTCCAGCACATTCCTGCAGGGTAAAGTTCCAGGAAGCTCATCATCCACAAAATCATAATATTAATAAACTTACAAATGTGTCATTTTTAACCATGATTTTCTAATGTAAAAAAAGTCCATATTTCAGATATTATATTAGACTGAAAATACACAGCACAACTCAATACAATTAAGTAACTGCTGGTGAGACCTACAGAAGTTTATATGTCAACTATTTGGAAGGCATTTCATATTAACTATGCTAGGAAGTGTGTGTGACCTTTATTTAAATGAAATAATAATAATTTTAAAAAGCTCTGCCATCAAGATGAGTCTAACTCAAAGCAACCCTACATGGGGGGTTCTAAGGCTGTAAATCTTTCAGGGTGCGGATAACTTCATCTTTCCCTGGAGCATAGCTGGTGAGTTTGAACCACCAACCATGCACTTAGTAGGCCAATGCCAATGCAATATCACCATCAGGATTCCTTTATTTTAACAAAGGAAATCAAAGAAAATTCTATTAGTTGACCCAAAACTCTCTGAGATTGAGGTCAGTTAACAGAGGGCATTGAAAGCAAAAAAAGAATGGCAGTATTTCCACCATCTTGAATGGCAGTATTTCCACCATCTTGAATGGCAGTATTTCCACCATCTTGAACGGCAGTATTTCCACCATCTTGAACGGCAGTATTTCCACCATCTTGATGGAGAGCTCTTCGGGGAGACAGTACTGGGGTTTCCAAACTGTCACAGCCTTGAACACACTACAGAAAAGCTGTACTTTGCACACATATGTTCACCATGAGTTGGAATCCACATGACGACAATTAGCAACAACAACATATCTACTAAAGAGCAGTCTTCTGGTAATCTATATGACATAAATAGCACGTAGATAGATTAAGAGGTCATTAGCAATGGGTAAGCCACAAATCTTTCTTTAGAATATTCACTAAAAATACTGTGTACTGACTAGAAAAACTTGCATTGTTCCACACATACATATATCTGCAATATACACAGACTTGGCACAGACTTGATTACTGAACGCCACAAGGATTAGATCAAAGACTACAGTTTTCAGTATGGATTCCAATTCAATAGAAAGAAAGTAAAAATCCTCACAACTGGACCAATACGCCACAACAGGATAAGTAAAGAAAAGATTGGAAATGTCAAGGATTTAATTTTCATTGGATCCCCAATCAACGTCCCTCCAAGCAGCAATTGAAAAATCAAGTGACACGGCACTCAACCAACCTGTTACAGAAGACCTTTTCAAAGTGTTAATGAAAAGATGTCAACTTGAGGGTCACAAAAGTATTGATGCATTGGAATTACGGTGTTGGTGAAGAGTATTGAATTTACCATGTACTTCCAGAAGAGCTAACAAATCTGTCTTGGAAGAAGTCAAGCCACAATAGTGCTTAGATATGAGCATGGCGGAATTTCATTTCACAGGCTTAGGACATGCTATCATGAGGGACCAGGCCGTGGGGAAGGATATATCCTGCTTGGTAAAGTAGGGCATTAGCCAAAAGAGAGAAAAAGCTTCCATGCGATGGGCTGACACGTTGGCTTCCAACCATGGAATCGAGCGTAGCAATGATTGTGAGGATGGTCTCCGATTGAATCGTATTCCAATTTGTTGTATCTATGGTTACTGTTAGTCAAAACTGACAAGATGACACCTAACAACGTCCATCCATCTATATAATAACAATTGAACCTCCTCGCCAAGAGTGGATTCTCACTCACATACATACATACAATTTAATAATGTGATTATATATATGATGAAATGAATGCAAGAATATTCTCATCACAATTAGATATAAAGACACCAAAACCAAACGTGTTGCCGTTGAGTCAATACTGACTCATAGTGATCCCTGTGGGTTTCCGAGAGTGTAACGGTTTACAGGAGTAGAAAGCCCAGCCTTTGTCCCAAGGAACTGCTAGTGGTTTCAAACTGTCGGCCATGTGAATTGCAGCCTAATGCATAACCACTGCACCACCAGGACTCTTACGTATAAAGAAGCATGTCAAAAATTAAACATACTGTACAGTTGCATTTATAATACACTATGCTGCTACTAGAGACAAAACCACAAATATTTTGAGAAATTATACTGTGCTATTAAAGTTTTTGCTAGCATTTTACTTAATCTACACATCTACTTAATACAAATGCGTTTTAAAATAGCAAACAAATTTTTAAAATTGGGTCTTCTTTCTCCAACTTGAAATATCATTTCAGTATGTGGCTTGTCCAAAAGGGTTCAAATCTAATATTGTAGCAAGTTAATTTTATTGAATATCTTTTGGAGAAGCTGAGAAAGGTAATTAATATCATAGGTCGCTCATGTAATTTACTGACAGTTTATAAGGTGTACAAAGTGATACATAGGATCTGCTAAGTGGCTGTGTTAGTCTGGGTGCTTTAGAGAAACAAATCCACAGAAACTCATGTATAAGAGAGAGTTTTATATAAAGGTTAAGTGCACATCAAGAAAACATTCCCAACCCAGTGTTGCCCAAGCCCACAAGTCCAACATTAACCCATATGTCCGACACCAATCCACAAAGTCCTTCTCCATCTCACAAAACACATGCAATGGCACTGACTGCAGGAGGAAAGGCAAATCAGTGAATGTGTAAGCATCTCAGCGCTGGCAGGGGTCTCCACACGGCTGCTCCAGCACCCAGGGCTGCATCAGGGTAGGTCCATGTGACGTCTCCTTGAGGATGTTTTGCAGGAAGTGAACCTTGCCAGCTGAAGCAGGGAACTGGCCAACGCAACTGCACCCTGGTCCGACCATCACAAAGCAAGAGACCCGAGAACTCAAAAGACGAAGGTCACCGAGCCATTTATCCCTCTGACCTTCAATTAACCCCCGCATGTGTTTATCGGCCAGGTTGGAACAATAAACTAACTACCTCTGTGGCACAAGTTGCAAAGTATTCAATTACGAACTGAAAATTTGGCAGTTCAAACCCAATCAGAAGTACTTTGGAAGAAAGTTATGGTGATTGACATCCTAAAGGACACAGCCTTGTAAAAAAACCAAAAAAAACTTGCTTTTCACAGTTCTCTGTTCCTCATATCACAGAGTTAGCATGACACAGAATATAGAGCATCTCCTCGGGAAATTGAAAGAAGAGAAAAAATGTGAATATTTGAACATTTTGAATGCCCATACACATGAACATATTAGGGGGGGAAAAAGTCTTTAAGAGTTCTCACTATAAATATTTCCCCTGGGTAATATCCAATTAGATGCTTAAATGCAATACATTACTTCTTATAAAATTGTAAGTTTCAATGTATAATTAATATTAAATTCAAATTGAGAAATTATATATACACCACAGAGCATTGATTTTATACAATCTTAAAATTGAGGTACTTTGTATGTGGAGAGCACGAGCTAATGATTATTTTTCAGTTTTAATGTTATCTTTGATACCTTGGCATTGAACTATTTTGAAAACTGAAAATATTAAATTAATTGCAATCTTACCATTGTTGTCTCTTGAATAGACCCAAAACTGTTAATAAATATGTTGACAACAACATCAACCGGGATGCCTAAAAGTAAAAATTACAGAATATATACAGTAGCAGTAAGAACCATGATCAAGCCATGTACATTGCTATATCTTATATGTTTATTTGCTATGCTTTTCACGATACACATTGAGTGTAAAATTCTAAACTATGGCCTCAGTATGCCATTTTAACCATTGCTATTGATATATTTCTCTATTCAGAAATGTTTTTAAACTGTAGAAACTTGCTAATAATAAGTTTGCTTTTCAAAGTATGTTAAGTTGTACTGATGCATCTATTTCTACCTTCATCAAAAAATGTAAGCTATTCTTTTAAAAAGATACTTCAGACAGATTTTTTTTCTCCTTGCATTTCTCTGATCAGGCTTTAAAATCTTTTGTTGGTAAAACTGCATTCAATAAATTTTACTTAACAGTACTCTAGGACATTATATTTTTATTTTGAGTTCGTGAAAATGCAAGTTGATCAAACATATAACAGGATCATTATAAAGGTTTTCCCTGACCCTTTGGAAAATATTTCGAAAGTTCATGGAGTGAGAATTAATGTATAATGTTGCAAATTTCTTTCTTTAATTCATTGTGGGCTGCTTGCTGGGGCAACAAAGAGAAAAATGTGAAGTTAGCCTTTTAGCCACATAACCACTGACTGATGAAAAACAGGTGGTGAATCAATCTATGGTCGACATGTGACAGCCCAGAGGACGGCTGTTGTTGAAAGTAACTGAATAGGTTCTGGTAATGAACAAAAACCTCTGTTTTTACAACATAGTTGTATAACTTTAGTTGACTAGAAGCAGCTGCAGACCTCTTTTTCTGTAAAGAAAAAAAAAAATCCAGCCTGTTAATCTGATAGACATTAATACCTGTCTTTGAACCATGCAGCCGCGATTACAGTTTTCCACAGGAGAACTTTCAGAGAGCTTTTCTAACTCACCAAGAAGGAAGGGGGCAGGGAGCTATACGCAATCTGCTTTGTGGCTTTTATTTTATTGCAAGTATGGTTTGGATTCTTAAAGGTATGATAAATGGTGAAATTTTATTGGGGCAGAAACAATCTATATCACAGAAAACATGGTTGCTTTTATTTGCAAAGTTAACATGGTTTTAAAAACCATGTGGCTATGGGTTTGCTTGTTTTTTTCTTTCTTTTTTTCAGTGTGTGGAAGGAAATGTTTGTTAATGTGAAATGCTAAAATGAAGTTGAAAAAAAATCTAGGACATATCCCCACAGTTCTTTATCCTTAAACGAGTAAATGGCTGTTTATCTGCAAATGGTAACATGTTTTGCCTATGAATGAAAGTCAGATATGCCTACTTTTTAAACGACTAAGTTTAAGAATGCCTGGTATGTACAACACCCATCACAGAGCTTAGCCCATTAATTCATAGAAGATCCTTTCATTTTAAAACTGGGAACCATATCAGTCTTGGAATTGGTATTTTGTCATTGAATATTTTGGACATTTGATTAGTTCACAGCAATTTAAACTGAAGAGCAATATAATATGATTATATATCAATCTGAATTGCTATTTATCTCTTTTGGTTTATAATATCAATAAGAAATTATTTTAAACAGATAAAATTAGTTTTTAAACCTCAAAGGATGAAGCTATTAGGGAGGAGAGGAAAACAAACCTTTGAAATTTGGTCTTATCCTAGGATCATAACTGACCAATAGCCGATTCAAAATATTGCTGGTGGAGTTGGCAGGTACCCGAGCAAGATCCTCTGCTGACTGCTGGCTATAAGAGAAAAAGAAAGCTTGTGAAGTACATAGAAAAGAAATGAGTCATTTCCATTGTTAGGGGGGAAAAAAATTCATTGCCATCGAGGTCATACTGACTCATAGTGATGCTATCGGACCGGGCAGAACTGCCTCTGTGAGTTTCTGAAGCTATAATCATGTATGCTAGTAGAAAGCTCCATCTTTCTCCCATGGAACACCTGGTGGTTTCAAACTGCCAAACTTTGAGATCACAGCCCAACGCATAACCACTATGCCATCAGGATCCCATTGTTGGGATGACAAACACACAATTTTATAAAAGTATTTCCAAATAGAATTAAATGAAAAAAATTTAATTTTTTCAGACAGTCTGAAGCCTAAAAGATAGTTATCATTAAAAAAACAAATACAGACACACAAAAGTGGTCTTTTAGCACTTAAATTTTACCAAATGGAAGAAAGAAACATGGTCCAAAATAGTCCGCATACATTTAGTTTAGATAAAACTAAGAACAAATAAAACTATTTATTATTTCTTTTGAATAAAACTAAATTGTCCTGAAACAGCTTGCATTGGAAGCTTAAACTATTAGAGGGTTTGATTAGTATTTTAAAGTGTTGAATACAAAATAAATTATATTAAATTTAAATCCTCACCTAATTTCAATGAAAAATTGTTATATAGAGATATATAAATATATCTATATGAAAGCCTATATAAGTGGAAAAGAATGCAGACAGAGATGAAAAAAGCTAGGATCATTATTTGAATAATGGATGTGTGTATGATGTTAACATTGTGCAAAGGAGTGTGTAGACACTAAATGAAATGGCCTGAGAGCCTAAGAATCCATACAATTAGACTGATATTTATAGAATGATGCCCCCCGCCCCCCAAGAGACATCGTTGAATTCCCTCCACATTTAGAAGAAAAATTAAGACGGGGGCGGCAGGGATTTAAAGAAAAGAAAGCATTTCTCTAAATAGATGAATTACACAAATAAAATTCCTTAGCAAAAAATAAAGATAAAAAACAGTTTAAAAACTTTTTCAGTATATACAAAACTCACTGGCATTGAATCAGTTCTGACTCATAGTCACCCTATGGGAAAAGTAGAACTGCCTGTTTGAGTTTCTGAGCCTTTCAAATGTGTATGAGAGCCGACAGCCTCAAGTTTCGGATGCAGAGCAATTGGCACACTGGAACCACTGATCTTGGAGTTCGTTTGCTGTACCACCAGAACACCTTCAGCAGACACAAAAGGGCCAGAAAAAAGCCCCAAAACAAACAAGCAAAATCAAAACCCTTATCTTTTCATTCCATTTCCCCACAAGTGTTTAAAGCCCTTTTATATTTGTTAAAGGAGCCCTGGGGCCATCATGGCTAGTCTCTGGGCTGCCAACCCAAGCTCAGCAGTTCGAAACCACCACATGCTCCATGCTAGAAATCACGGCTTGTTACCCCTGTGAAGAGTTCCAGTTTCGAAAACTCACAAGGGCAGTCTACCCTTTTCTATACGGTCGCTATGAGTTGGCATCTACTTGGTAGCAGTGAGTTGGTTTTTAGTTTTTTTAAATACGTATTTGTTGTAATTTTTTATCAACAAAATGAAAATCTGCCATGTTTCATTGTATTTGATGTTGAATAATGAATTTTGACTACGGTGGTAGTTGGTTAAGAGGTTTATTGTATTTCTAGAAAGGCACTTTTTGAAAGTTGAATCAACACATGTTCTCATCTTTTGTTTGCTTGCTTTGGCTTAGTTTATTTTATTATGTATGAAGTCTTATCAATAATTATTTTCTGGAATATTAAACAAAAATCCATCACAATTACAAAGAACACTAAAAGTACACATAAGCCCTTAGTCAAGGACTATCTATTATGCATCCATGTGGGAAAAGTCCCCATTTCATAAATATTAATTGAATACACAGGAAATTTAGATGGAGCAGGCTAGGAACCACAGTGCACTCAACTCTCGTCTACTAGTCAATGTGTTTCGAGTTAAGCATCATACATTCTTGATAGAACACAGCTGTAAGATATGTTCAAGAGTGAGAAGTTCAAGGAAAAAAATTTAAATAGTCTGAATTGATACTGAACCCCTTTCAAATAGAAATCAGTTGTGGTAGTCACATAATCTGTTGTCGATTTGAGATTTAAGAGTGAAGGGGTGGAGTTTAGCTTGTCAATCAGGTTGCAGTTTGACGACCTCATTTGGAGTCGCTAAAGTGATTAATAGCTTGCTGGAGGCAGGACACTAGCTGACTCCTTGCCAGACATTAGTGATGATAAGCCTGATGAAGCCACACGGGTGCAGCCAGAGGCATACAGCTGGAGGAACCACGTGGAGCCCCCTGACAGTGTTGAGATGTTTCCACTGCCACTGGATCCATAAGCCTTTCCATCTATGGGCCTGTGATCTTCAAAGACTCCGCATCATTGCATATGTTTCATGAGTCTGAAGAGAAATTTATAGACAGGTATCGAACATATGGGCTAATATCAGACTTATGGACTTGATCTGGACTGGGCTGGAATGTTTTCTCAGTATTCAATTGCTCTTCTATAAAAAGTTCTTTCTTATACACATATGAGTATCTATGGATTTGTTTCTCTCGTCAACCTGGACTAACACATCAGTCAACGTCAAGGACATTAAAGAACAAAATGAAAATCAATCCGTTGAATCTTCCTCAGGCGCAGAAGATGGTGTAGATTTTGAAAATTGTTTCTCCTGAGACTATCAGCTCTAAGATCACAGCTGCAGACATTTGCAGAATGCTCATGAGATTTTTCGCTCTCATTTCAGGTGAAATTGTGGCCTCCCTAGAGCCCATTCTTATTCCTTTCAAAAGATGATAATCACTAAGATGACTACCCATAAATGGGATAATTTAATCACTAGGATGAAAAATAGTGTTTAAACCTATCACAATATTTTTTGTTTAAGTGAAGAAAGTAGAATTGAATGATTAGAAACCACACTTTCTTGGATCAATTAAGAACTCCCATTGCTGTGTGTCTTGAGAGAGACTACAAGTATATTCTCTTCAATGCATTTGAATTATGGTGCTGGTGAAAAATATGGAAAGTATCATGGATGGGCTGAAAAAAGAACACCCAAATACATCTTGAATCAGTAGAATCCCAATGTTTCTTAGAAGCAATAATGGCGAGATTTTGTCTCATGTACTTTGGAATATTATCAGGAGAGACCAGTCCCTGGAGAAGGACATCATGCTTCGGAATGCAGCAAGGTAGCAAAAGAAAGGAAAAAAAGGAGAACTTCAGTAAGATGGATGGCCATGGTGCTTCAACCATGAGCTTGAACATAACAATTGTGCTAATGGCAGAGGATCAGCAGTGTGTGGTTCTGTTCTACATAAGGTTGCTATGAGTCAGAACCAAATTGATGAGACACAACAACAACAAGCAACAGAATAAGAACACAAGGACAGTTAGCACTAATTGTTGTCATTTCTCTCTTTTAACCCTGAGAGATGTCAGTCAAACCAGTCTTCTATATTTCAAACCAAATTTTGTAAAAACTTCAGCCAGTGAAATATTCTTTTTTTTTTTTAGAATTACTGATTTTAATATTCATACACTGTTAAATATTTTGAGATTTTTATGAAAAATAACACATTTGGTAAATGAAAACTAGAGTACAGAACAGGTTTATTTTATATCAATATACTTACTAATTTATATTTTACTATAATTCACATTTTCTTTTTTTTCTTTTTTAACATTTTATTAGGGGCTCATGCAACTCTTATCCCAATCCTATTCTAATGTTCACATCTCATTCTACTATTTGAAACCCAACCTGTCCTTTAAAATTTTATTTAAAGCTTATCTTCTGTCACAAATATTGTCTCAAAAACTCCACCTTACTCTAATGAACACAAGCTAGTAAATGCAGTTTGGAAACTATTTTATATTTATATTTATGTGTATATTTCCAACAAAGTGAATGTAGATGGCATGATTCTTTAGGGAATAATACCTTCTGTTTTATTGAGGGTCCTAATAACTTGTGTATAATTAAATACATATTGCTTCAAGTATATTCCATTGGACTGCTCGTCTAAGTGAATTACAGTCTCATGCTGCCTGTGTTATGGTGGCAACAGTTCCATGAATCATTTCTAATGGAAAGAAGAGTACATGAGAGGAATTTCAGATTTGTTTACCCCTCAAACGTTTCTCAGTGTTAGCAATTGCAGAATAAATTACTTGCAAGAAGGAATAAACTATCATTATTTCCCCAAGTAGTACTAATCAGTTTGTCGCCCTGGAGTGACCTGCCGGTTTCAAAGACCAGCAGTGTCTCACCTGCAGAGAACAGATGCAGCAGTGCTTCCAGAACTAAAAGCAGGAGAGGAAGAAGGAATCGACTGTCTCGTTTGCCTGGATTAACCATTGAAAAGATGATGAGATGTCAGATAGAATGCCAAAAGACGAGCCCTGCAGGGTGGAATGCGTTCAAAAAACAAGAGAAGAACCATCTCTTCAAAACACAGTCCACTGTGATAGCCCAGACAGATGGAGCTAAGCTTTTGGGACATTCACGTGCCGGTGGGCGTGATTCAAAGACAGGGAGGGGAGCTGAAAATATCTATCAATAATTAAAACATTGAATAGGCTAAGTATCCATCCAGGAAATGTTTAAAGTCATCAAAAATGAAATAGAATCCATGAAAATCAATATCATAGGCATCAATGAACTGAAATGGCCTGGCTTTGGCCATTGGGAACCAGACAATCGTAGGTTTTACTATTCTAGGAATGAAAAATTCACAAGGAATGAATCATAGTCATGGTCAAAAACCATTTCAATATCTATCTCTAAGTATAATGTTATCTGTGATAGAATAATATCTATCCTACTATTATAGTAAGGAAGTCTAGTTAATGGAACTATTATTCAATGTTTCTACCAACCACAAAAGTTAGTGATGAAGAAATTGAAGAATTATACCAATGTCTTCAGTGCAATATATCA